GACAAGTAGTTGCAGACTTTAAATATCCATAACCTTTGTTATTAGTAGCGTGATTTTTAATTTGTATTAATATGTATGAAATACGATCTTCGTTAAACTTTTCATCAAGAGTGCCCATATATAGAGGTATTATAATATCTACTCCCTGCTGATTTCGTTTACATGAATATGCAATACCACGAATCAGAGCATCCCCGAGATCTTTTCTCTTCGGAGTATATGTAATATTGATAAAGTGTGTAAACTTAATATAAGCTTCGCTGAATTTTCTTCCTGTAAACTTTACTGTTTCTTCAAGGCGATTCTTTATTTTCTCATAAACATTATCCACGAGTAACGATTTTAAAAATTCTTCAAGAGTCACGAATCGAAAATAATTTTTACTAATATTCGTGTCATCTAGGATCTTTTTTTTGATGCAACAATCCCAGGCGTTGAGAAGTAACAACCTGGCTGTGAGCTCTCCACGGTAACCGGCCTCTACTACGCCTTTTTTTAAGGCTTCGGATAGCTTATTAATAAGTTCTGTGAGGCTGATATGCGGATCATTCATTATTCGAGCACTAGCTTCTGCTAGCACAGGTTCGGTAGGCATCGCTGTAACAATGTATTTACGATCCTCTAAGACTTTAATACAAAGGCGCATATTGTTTGCTATTAAATCAGGCGCATATTCAGATTGTGGCGCTATTTCGACACATAAACGGGGTCCTAGAATAGCCAAAGTATCCAACATTTTAATTTGGTTTTTCCTCCAAACGCTGAAAAATTGTCCGCCAATAAGCTTGTCCATGGCCAATTCGATAATACGTTCTGGTTCCATCCCTTTAGTATCACTAGAAGGCATTAATAGTGCACCCCACAAAGGTCTTCCATACTGAAAGAAATGTTGTGGGTCTTCTGACTCCTTTAATGTCGTGGCTTCCTTAAAATTAACAAAATTGACATTCATGTCCACAGTGTCTAGCAAATAAAACGGCGCAAATAATTGAGAACCATCCTCCGCAACTCTTTTAGATGGATCGAGGTAAGAAGCGGGCGAAAAGTTCGAAATATTTGAATGTGTGTCCGTAAAGA